TAAATTACATTTACAAACAGTAACAATTTACTTGATCACAAAGATTGCACTCAATTCGTTTTTGGACCTTTCCCCCACCTTTTTCAGTGAGAGAAGGGGAGAAGGGTGGGTGTTGGTTGGGGGGGAGCACTTTTGTCCAATGGTCTTTCTTAAATTAGCTATGGGGGCAGGAGGCTGCCTCCCTGCGCTTACAGAAGGAGGAGTCTCCGTCTGTCACTGACTACTGTTTCATTATTACCTGCACAATCCTGCAGCATTCACCACACTCAGAAGCAAAGAGAGAGGCACACAGAGGACACACTCTCAGGCCTAATCCATCCCAATAGAGTTTTCTTTTTTTATGCTCTTTCCCTACGTGGGACAGCCTGCTACTGCTGACTTGTAAATTACAAGGCAACTAGCAGTAGATATGGCTGGTTGTCTCCGGAGTTCCTCACTTTGTCAAAAGTGGGCACTTTCAAGAAGCCTGCTTGTGACATTTGCTCTCAGCTTCTACTTTGCCTCCGCAGCTGCAGAGCCGTTTGGCTCCGCTCATCTTTATCAACGCAGATCTGGACCTAATGAAGACAACATTATCATTGCTAACAGTGGGATCAGGGTGCCTTTAGGGAAGTCTGTGTTTCTTGACCCAGTGAGTGACCTGGTAACAGAAGTTCAGCCTGGAGACCGCTGCCTCATCACGGTTTTGGACAATGACCCACTGGCCCAGAAACCTGGGATGCTCTCACCTAAAAAGTTCCCCTGCGAATTTGGACCAGATGACGTCAAATACACTCATTTTGGATCTCGGAGCCCCAGCAAGGATCGGGTGAAGCTACAACTTCGTTATGACACCCAAACAGACACAGTTGTCATTCCTTTCATGCTGGAAGTGGAGGTGGTTTTCCAACAGCTTGAGATCCTCACCAGGAATATGCCCCTTAATGTTGAAAAGCTCAGTGGTGACAGCGTCCCTATTGACAAAAAGCATCTGGAGTTTTCCTTTGAGGATGAAGTAACACAGTGTAAGATCGCCACTCTTGTCGGCGCCGGTGATCTTCCCAGGTATGGCACTCTTTTGAATAACCCCTCAAATGGCCAATTTATTGACTGTGATGAGTTTGTGAAACAAGGCATTCGCTACAAACACACAGCTAAAACCAACTCACCTAACAGAGACTATATCCCAATGATGGTAGAGCTGCAGGATAAAGAAGGCAACACCATTATGCAAGAGTATTTCCAAATGATGGTTAGAATTAGAGAGGGGGCAGAGAATACAGGTCCTAGACCCAGCTTTGTAGCCATGATGATGATGGAAGTTGATCAGTTTGTGATGACAGCTATTACAAGTGACATGTTAGCTGCTGAAGATGTTGAATCTGACCCAGATGATTTAATCTTCAATATTACTACACCGCTGAACCCTGAGCAGGGCTATCTCATCAGCACAGATGATCAGAACCTGCCTATCACCTCTTTCTATCAGAGAGACATCAAAGATCTTAAAATTGCTTATAAACCACCCTCAGACGACTCAGAGATAGAGAGGATTTTCCAGCTGGAGTTTGAAGTTGTAGACACTGACGGTGCTGTGTCTGATACATTTGCTTTTATGATTGTGGTAAAGCCTATGAATACCTTGGCACCTGTAGCAACCAAAAATACAGGCCAGCTACTGTTTGAAGGGCAATCCCGACCTCTTTCCAGCTCCCAGAATTTAGAGATTAGTGATGAGGATAACCTGGAAGATGTGACTATAACTGTGGTTGATGGCTTAAAGCATGGAGATCTGACGGTGCTCGGGGCTCGCAGGAAATTCTTCACACCTGCCGATCTAGACGCCGGCATTGTGGTGTACCAGCATGATGGCAGCGACACCTATAGCGACAACATTATTTTTAGAATGACTGATGGCAGTAATGAAGTGGAGTTTTTGTTCCCAATCACTATTGCTCCCACTGATGATGAGCCACCTATTATCAATGCTAACACTGGCCTGGTGCTATTCAAGAATGAAGTCATGCAGATCTCTCCCTTTATCCTGAGTGCCACAGATATCGATTCAGAAGACTCCACTATTAAGTTTATCTTGGAAGTGCCATACTCAACTGTAGGGGAGCTCCTGCTAAGGCAAGTGGAGCCTCCCTCTGACCCGTCTCTCTGGAAGTTCAGCGAGACAGATGAGATGTTTGAGCAGGTGGTAACAGAATGGTTTCAGCAGGATATTCTTGATGGAAAGCTTTTCTACCGTCACATTGGACCCCATAGCACCACCGTTGTAGTTGATCATTTTGTTTTCCGGGTCCAAGATGATAATGACCCCCCTAATCAATCTGGCGAGCACATGTTCACCAGCAAAATCCACCCTGTTGATGACATTGCTCCAGAACTTGTTCCCAGCACCAGCCTTCACATGACAGTCCTGGAGTATGAGCTAACCCACTTCAAGAAACATTTCTTGTGTTATACTGATTTAGATTCAGATGACAGGGACCTGAAATACACCATCATTAAGCCCCCAACTGACACAGATGAGAACAATCCAGCAGCCTTAGGTGACATCGTACTGACTGACAGCCCAAACACTGTAATTATAGAGTTCACACAGGCCCAGGTTAATCATCACAAAGTAGCTTACAAGCCTCCAGACCAGGAGCTGGGCATCACTCCAAAAGTGGCTCAGTTCACATTCATTGTAGAAGACACTTCTGGTAACACAATAGATGGACTATTCACCATTTTCCTTCAGCCAGTGGACAACAAACCCCCGATTATCACTAACAAAGGTTTCACTGTTATGGAGAGCGCTTCACATATCATCTCTAGGAACGAGCTGCTTGCCACAGATACAGATACAGATGATGAAAGTATTATCTTCACCGTGACCCAGATTCCTCGGTGGGGGCAGCTACAGTATTTGGGGATCGACATGGCAAAAGGAGAAACATTCGTAATTGAAGACCTTTCAAATGGTCACCTTACCTACAACCATGGTGGACAGGAATCGGTCAGTGACACCATAAAGATTGATGTCAGTGACGGTTTTCATGAGGTACCCATCATCATCAAGATCAACATTGATCCCGTTGATGACGAGTCCCCCACCCTTATGCTCCCAGACGGTCTGCTTGGAGCATCCATCGATGTACTGGAGAACGGAGCCACAGAGATTACAAGTAATGTCATTCAGGGCCGTGATGAAGACACAGATGACCTCCTCCTAACTTTCATTGTTGAAGAACCTCCCAGGCTTGGTGAAATCCTTGTAAATGGTGCTCCCGCTGAGAGATTCACCCAGGAAGACATCATTAATGGGGTAGTGGTGTATGCTCACACATCCGGTGAAATCGGTCCAATCAAAGAATACGACTCTTTCAACCTTACTCTGTCTGATATGTCAGAACAGTGGGTTGTTGGCGGCAACAACGTACATGGTTTGACTGTTCAAGTCACCATCCTTCCTGTTGACAGCATTCCACCCATTGTCAGTGTTGTAGAGCAATTTGTTGTCGTGGAGGGGGAGAAGAATGTCATTACTCTGGACCACATCCAAGCTGTGGATATCGACACTGAAAATGATGATATCCTATGCACCATTATTGTCCAACCAACATCTGGTTACGTGGAAAACATCTCCCCATCTGCAGGCTCTGAGAAATCCAGATCCGGGACAGCCATCACTGCATTTAGCTTCAAAGACATCGCCCTAGGTCATATCTACTATGTCCAGAGCATCCACAAAGGGGTTGAACCTGTGGAAGATCGCTTCACCTTCCGCTGCTCAGATGGAATCAACTTCTCTGAACGACACTTCTTCCCCATTGTCATCATTCCAGCCAATGATGAAAAGCCAGAGATTTTCATTCGCGAGTTTATTGTAATGGAGGGCATGAGTCTGGTCATTGACACACCAATTCTGAACGCGGCTGATGCTGACATTCCTGGGGACGAGTTGCACTTTGAGATAATAAAAAATCCCAAACACGGTTCAATAATTCTGCAGCTTAGCACTGGCACAATCCCTGTGGAAAACTTTAACTTGGAACAAATCAAAGAGGCTTCCAATATTGTCTATGAACACGATGACTCAGAGACCAATGAGGACAGCTTTGTAATCAGACTTTCAGATGGGAAACATACAGTAGAAAAAACAGTCCTTATCATGGTTATTCCTGTTGACGATGAGACACCAAGGATGGCTATAAATGATGGCCTTGATGTTGAAATTGGAGAGACAAAAGTCATAAGCAACAGAGTTATTCAGGCCACAGATCTTGACTCGGAAGACAAGGAGCTCACATATGTTGTGCGTTACAGCCCAGGTCAAGGCTTCCTGCAGCGTATCAGCAAGTTTGGTGATGTTTTGGGTAATATTACCCTTGGTATGAACTTCACACAGGACGAAATTGACAAGCAGCTCATCCAGTATGTACACACAGGCCAGGAGGGAATCCGTGACCTGCTGAAGTTTGATGTCACCGATGGCCTGAATCCACTCATTGACCGTTACTTCTACATCAGCATTGGAAGCATTGACATGGCTTTTCCAGATGTTATCAACAAAGGTGTGACTCTTAAAGAAGGAGGGAAAGTAACTCTTACCACTGACCTCCTCAGCACCACTGACATTAACAGTCCTGATGAATTCCTCAGCTTTAGCATCACAAGAGCGCCTAGTAGAGGCCACTTAGAGTGCACTGACCATCCAGGTGTTCCCATTTCCACCTTTACCCAACTGCAGCTTGCTGGCAACAAGATCTACTACATTCACACCTCTGACGATGAGATGAAAATGGACAGCTTTGAGTTTGAGGTGACGGACGGTTTCAATCCTGTATTCCGTACCTTCAGAGTGTCTATCACTGATGTTGATAATAAGAAACCCGTCTTGACTATAAGCAAGCTTTATGTGGAGGAGGGAGAAACAAAGCTTATCACACCATTTGAGTTGACAGCCGAGGATCGGGACACCCCAGACAACCATTTAAGATTCATAGTCACGCAGGTGCCAGTGCACGGCCAGCTGCTTTTCAACAATACCAAACCGATCACAACCTTTACCAAGCAGGATCTTAACGAGAACCTTATCAGCTATAAGCACGATGGCACTGAGACCAACGAAGACAGCTTCTCCTTCACTGTCACAGATGGCACTCATTCTGATTTTTACGTCTTTCCCAACACTGTGTATGAGACACGCAAGCCCCAGATGATGACCATTCATATCAATACTGTGGACAATGGTGTGCCCCAGATTTTGGTTAACAAAGCTGCTGCCTCACTGAAGGTCCTCCAAACAGGCCACGTGGGCTTCGTGATCACCAGCAAGGCCCTCCAATCAGAAGACCGCGACAGTCCCCAGAGCATCCTGACATACACTGTTTCTGAGGCTCCTCTGCATGGCTTCATCATTAACACCGCACTGGGAAACGACAGCATCAAGACCTTCTCACAAGGTAAGAAAATGTCACAATACTTCATCTCTTAACAGGTTTTTTGACATTTAAGATGCAATAATTATTATTTTGAAATGACCATGAAGCATAAAAAGGTCAAATAGGAAAGCATTGAAGAAAACAGATATTTCCGTTATAAGTTGTTGGAGACAAAAACAAAGCTAAAAGGAGAGTGAGAAAAACCACTCAAAATGATTTCCAGAAATGCATTTGATCATTTTTTTCAGCTCACAAATCATGACAACTAATATGGAGTAATAACAATTTATTCATAATTAAAGTAACATGTGTATACTTTTTTTAAAACTATCCTTAGTTGCCACAGTTATTTTACCTAACATTTTCAGCTAACACTCAATCTTCTATTATTTGTTTTTCTAATAGCTGATATTGATGACATGAAGATCAATTACGTGCTGTTGGATGGGAGCAACGCCACAAGTGATATCTTCTACTTCACAGTTGAAGACAAAGGTAGGAATCTTTTAAACTTCCTGCCCTCTGTCAGTCTCCTAAGTGTTTGCATCACAAAGACTTAAGGCAGTTGGCCATGACTGACACCCATAGAGCCGCCATCTCTTTTCGGTTTAAAGGACAGGGGTCAAAGGGGACTTCTGCCAATCACTGACTGGGTAAAAGTGAAAGAAGTGGGGCGACCTCATGCTCTAAACTTTATTGTTAACAAACAATGGGATAATTTACCCAAAGGCACTTTTCTGACTGTTTAAATGTCCACCTTTCATCCTGTGCTTGAAGTTTCATTGAAATGTGTAAAGGTTAGCGTGCTGGGCTTTTCAGTTTATATTATCTTATCGGGATGGGTCTTGCAAACTTCGGCTTGAACTTAAAAATCTACCATGTTTTGTGGGATTATGTCAGTTATTCTTCCCATTTGAACATATCTGTGAACATGTACTTATCCTGTTTATCCTATAGAATTAATCACATTTAAATGTTACAGACACGACAATATGTATAAGCTCTGTCACGTTTACCCAGATTGACATAAACAGCATGATAAATATAGCGAATGGAAAGCAATACAAATGCATCAGGTGGTTGCTATTTTAGTTTTGACTTTAAAATACAAAACAAGATTTGGAAATGCAATTAGTTGGGGCAGGGAAAGTTAAGGCTATAATTATGCTGGATTAAGGGCCATGTTGGTCATAATACCACCATCACCATCAGGGCCATTAAAAAGGCAGGACTGGGAGGACTGACACTGGGAGTGTCTTTTTGTCAAATGACTTTCTTTTGTCAGCAAAGTGAAGCCTCTTATTAGCCTTGACTGAATCGCAGTAATCAACTGTTTCCCCAAACTGTAAGTGAATTGTGTGATAATTTATTTTTAATGAGGTTAAGTAGCCCTGGCATTGATAGAAACCACATAATTTATTATTATTTATGCTCTACTGTTCTGCAGTGTTTTTATTTGAGTTTCTTTACTTTACATGTGTGACCTATGCATCTGCCTGAAGCACAGGCAGGTTCGCTTTTTGTCTTTTAAGTGGAGGTTTAACCACAGGAAGGGAAGGCAAAGGCTTCAATTAGCTCAACATTCTTTTTCTGTTTGCTTTCATACATTGTTTAAGCTTCCAGCCAACTCGGTTGAACCAGGTGCAGTGGTGCAGACTGGGACATAAAACAAAAAGGTGTTGCTGCATGACCACGGTTCACATGCAAAGGCCACAGCAGCTTATTCCACAACATACATGTAATTAATAGCACACGTATTCTATTCCAAATAATAGATCAAATGTTTAACATGTGGTTACCTACACACTCGCCAACACACATACAAGGGAAGGCACACAAACAAACACAAAGGCACACCCAGGAAAAGATCAAATAACAGATAAAAGCAATTTAAGCCAACCGGTGAATCACTTATGTGAAGTGTTAAGGTGGTGACTCCTGGGGGAGCGAGCATTATCTTGAACATGTAGAGACGTGCAGGTCGGAGAGCACGCTGATGGTCAGCCTATCTGCTTATAAATCTAAGTCAATGAGCTGTTTGTGTGTGAAGCAAAACTCCTGGTCATTAGGAGATTCTCTCGCCAAGATAATCCCCCCTACTCGTCTTGTTTTCAGCACACCTTCAAATAATCATAATCATAAAATCATTGAAAATTAGTAATGAACAAACACCATAAAAAGTGACTCATAACTTTAAATTTGGAAATGAATCCAAAAAGTGGCAAATTATTTTATTTTATTTTTTTAGGATCGTTTAGACACAAAAACAGAGATTAGTTTGACAGAAGACAGAACATTTAAATATATAAAACTGAGGCCGAATTGTCCGCAATCACCTTGTGGATTGTAAAATGTGTTCTGTCTGTTTCTTAATCATCGTGTTTCATTCAGCATTTCCAGAACTATTCATCTAATTACATTCTTATGTTCAACACAGTTTGAGTGTGACCTCGCTTTAGGAAATACCCCGTAGATGCTCTGATATGGGCAGCTGCTTAAGGGTCTTAGCACCCTTTAAGAGGAACCTGCCATTACATGCACTGCACTGAGGCTTTTTCACAAGTCAAGAATATACACACACACACACACACACACACACACACACACACACACACACACACACACACACACACACACACACACACACACACACACACACACACACACACACACACACACACAGTCCAAATCATTTACATATCTTAAAGACATAGTATTTCCGTTTGGCATACTTTAGAAAGCTCAAATGTTGCTTGTTGCATGTATGTTTCTGAAACTTTGTAGATACATGAAGATCTTCATCAGGCTTGAAAATGCTGTGTCTGTAGCAATAGCGTGTGTGTGGCCAGGCACAGCTGAAGTTTGTGTGTGTTGGTGAGAGGTCAGGGGTGGACATTCAGTTTCACGCCAGGAGACGTGCTGGTCAGCGGTTAAATTCCAGACTCTGCAGGGAAAGTTAGTGTAGCTCTCATCACGTCTGAATGCATCAGCAGGCTTTTTGGCTTATCAGCTGTTTGCCGAAAATGCGTCCGAAGAGGATAAATGATTCATGTGACAGAAGCAAAAAAAACAATAAGTGAACCAATGAGGAATGGGACATTTGCTAACAGATTTGTGGGCTGTGTATGACACGATAAGTCAATTAAGTCAAACACACAGTACACCCCAAATGTGCACTGGACATTTTTAATTCTTTATAGAATGAGACAGCTTTTGCTGCTGATGAAGGAACATTGATGAATTGGCTGAACAGGAGTTTTTTTAATTTAAGTTTGGCTTCCATCTTTAGAAGATCATCTTTATCTTTTGTCTTCGTTTGACAGATTTTATATAATTTCTTAAAAAGCTGCATAACTTTACTAAACTTTACATTTTCACAAAACAGTAAGATATCAAATTCGGCAATGACCTCGAACACAAACTGTAGTTCAACTTGGTTCATTCTTTCTGTCTTTTGGGAAAGCAATAACTTGCATACATGACCAGGTCAGAAACTCTCTACATCAGGGGTGTCAAACTCAAATACACAGTGGGCCAAAATAAAAAAATCGGTACTAGTCGAGGGCCGGACTGGTTCAATGTTTATTGCAAAATGTATTGAAATGAACTTATTGCACATATTAAACCTGGAACTAACAAAGCTTAAATGATTGCCTATAAAAACAACATTAAACATTAAATAATCAGTTGCATTCATTTCTTATGGCTCTATCTGCAGCTTTTCCGTCATTACTAATCATTAATCATTTCTTATGATTACATTTCTCCACAGGCCAACAACAGCTTCAAAAAAACTATTTCCCTCAAAGAAAAAACCAAACATGCCCTGTTGTCTCAAGAAAAAAAAGTGCAGAAGGAAACATCCATGTAAACTCAGTGTGCTGCTCTGTGATGCTAGTTCAAGCAGACACTTGGCATCTCATCTCGGGTGCAAGTTCATCAATGTTTGGGGTCAGGCTCTGAGCTGAGGAGACCCTCAGGATGGAGTGAAGGTGTGCGTGCAATATACCGGCGCTCCAGATCTAATAGTAATTAAAAAATTATCCTGCGGGCCGAAATTAAATCCACCAAGGGCCTGATTTGGCGCACCCGGGCCTTGAGTTTGACACATGTGCTCTACATCCATTCTAAGTGTGAGACACTGAGGCAATAAATACTTGTTTTTACAAGTGGATGCACAATTCACATATATCCTTGTCCAAAAGGCATGAGTTTAGCCAGAGGCCAAGAGAAGAAACTCTTATTTACGGTCAGACTTGTTGAGACTTCTTTAGGATTCTGTTCATTTCTAAGTCTTAGAACTAGGACAATAAATTGATGTTGGATCATTAGTCTTTGGAGTCTTCTGGTCTTCAGAAACACTGCCTCTGTTTGCCAATTTAAGGTGCAGGATAGCATCAGATTTTATAGCAGTACTAATAAAACTCAACTGACTAACAGATGAGAACAAAGAGATAACAGAACAACATACAGATAAATTGAAGCTGCCTCTTTGCTTTTTCCAATAGCAAAAAAAAGTCTTCCAGCTTTGGAATAGGGTTCATAGACCCCAGTGGGTTGAGTGTTATGTGATCATTGAGACCCCGGAGAGGAATGCACTTCCTTGGAGACTCTAGACTCCAGGGCCACAGACAGAGCAAGGCCTGGAAGTGGAGTGGTCTCCCGGGCAGACAGGTGTGTACGTGAGAGGGAAGGCTCCAAGGGGATCCCCTTTCAAAGCCCTCTGTCACCCCACTCCTAGCTCCGCAGAAATCCAACCCAATCCCAGATAGCCCGATAACCTGCAGACTTCCACTGTGGAGGTGCCTGCCTTGAAGGGGCACTTCCCAAGAGAAATAAAACCCAGAAAGGAAAAGATAACAAATAGGAGCTCGAACTTTTGTATATATTTGTCTTATCGTTGGTGAATTTTCCTTATTACTGTGGGTGTCCTCTATTGTACAGTCGGATTGCGTGCTGACTGACTTGTTACACCCTTACTTCCTAACTGTGTTTTGGGATCGTACATGTCACCCATGTCAACAGTCACCAGGAGATTTACTGGCTAATGGTGCCACAGTTGGGGCCCCCTGTGACTAGAAGCCGACAGCCTCTCAGACCCCCCCGCCACAACCCCCTCTGATGTCACTCTCCCGTCCTTCCCCTCGTATGAGACCCCTTCATGGTATTACTGTCCTCTTTCATTGGTGTGTTCATCTTTTGACCTCTTCTCCATTTCTTTCTTCTCAGGTTTTCCCCATATCCCTTTCAATGAGACATGTTATCACCTCGTTCTCTGTCTTTCTTCCACTTTTTGTCCATTTTCTTCAGCCTTGATTTATGTTGGTTGGAGGGCTGAAGGGTGGGCAGTTATGATCTATGGCTAAAGCGGTTATTCTTATCTGCTCTCATATGGCAAAGCTGTTGCTGCCCCTAGCCAAGCTGTCCTTGAGTTACTCGCACTCCTTTCCTTGTCCTTTGCTTTTTAAACATGCTAGCGACATGGGTCTTGAGGA